AATGTAACATAACTGTACAGTAATTGAAAATTTCGAGTCTAAGTAAAGTTCACACTTCCTCAGATTTTCGACCTAATACTGCTTTTGGCTTATAGGACATTAAGTGTAACATTATTGATAATTCACACTACTAGGACTATAGTGAAGGGTATAAAGACATCATGTATATAGCACATCCAACAATTAGGTTGGTCTAATCATAAAAATTTAGGTTCAAAATTCACCTGACCCAAGCTGACCAGGTCAATTGCTGATTTCGATTTTTATTTCCTGGTTTCTTTAATATTTTAAAGACATCACAATTGGTGCATATAAATAAAATAAATAAAGTGGTAGAATAGAATGCAATAAACAATTTGGAAAATTCCATACAAAATTAACGAACTTACAAAGAAAGCTTTCAACGTGGAGAACACAAAATATTTTTATTGGAAGTACAATAGTATGGGTAAAATTTGGAAAATTCAAATAAAATGATGTTTAATTTCGAATGAACTTCATAAACCATTACAAAATTGTTTGGCACAAGTGTAAAGTAAAATGAAACGGCTTCATAGAAACGAAGGTCAATTCGATAATAAGCCAACCAATTACTCAGTTTATAAAGATATTCTACTCAAACAATACATATGGCCAGTGTAAAGTGTCCACCATCCCTCTTCTTACAATTGTAGCCTTCACGTGGCTGTTGACAAGAATTTGTCTGCTGATCACTATGATTTTAGCGCGATTGTCAGCGCACTCTTAAGCTATAATACACTCACACATACATAACAAAATAACGGCATTTAGTTAAAAGTGATTTGAAGTGAAGTGAAAACATGTGATGCTGCCAAAAATCGCACGAGTTCACCGAAACTCAGCTGAGGGCGGCGAGAGCTGGTGATTTACGAATGAATTGTAGCAGCACTGCAGTGAATATATGGTATATATATGTATATCCTATCTTTTATATATATGTAGATATCTACGTATGCATGTAGATCTTATATTGTAATAGAGGAATACACATAAACAATCGATGAAGTAAATGCGCAAAAACCGACGAATAGCGGCAGGGAGAGTGGACATTCAAAGCAACTAATGGCTGCGTCCAAATTTATTACTGTAGCCAAGATAGCTCTGTTGGTTTCTTTACATTTGGCACAATAGCTACTCGATGTGGCAGTGCTTGTGAACTTGTGTACTTGACTTCTTCGAATTACCGCCGTAAAATGTTTGACTCAAATAAATTTAAGTAAATACAATACCATATAACATATTGCCGCATGTTAATTTTGCTGCCACTAGATAAGAAACTGGGTCATAAGTAGTTATTAATAACAGCTATAAAGTAATTTACGAGGAGTGATAAACGATGAAAGTCAGATAATTACTCTAGTTTGATTTCTCCACAGTCATTTCGATTGAATCAGGCCTCAAAGTCAATAAGTAGGTTCGACGGCCATAAAACACTTCGAGTGAGAGAGAAGTTAGTTAGAAGCGAATTTATATCAGGTAAAGTGAGAGGCAAAAATATGGTTTTATAAAACGTTGTTGAGTCAACGATTTTTGTTCGCTAAAACCAGCAGCTCTACCAAAGCTTAGTAAAGTTCTTTGAACAATTTTATAGAGATTTTATATATTCAAAACCAACTCGCAAGTGTAGATCTCATTTCATCAATTCATTATATTCTATGTGTGTCTCCGAGTCCTGCTTTATAAAGAAATTACTTCAATTATATTATATTAATTTCCTTATTGCATCTGTTTGCTGATAAGACCTGGCCCAGATCAGTATGAAAGGGTTTACATTTCAAACACTGAGTCAACTAAGAAAGTCCTCACCCCAGCGCGTCGAGGTGTTCATAACGTGTAATAAATGTACCAATAAAATAATATAAACGGTCCTCAATTCAGTAAGCGTTACCTCCAGCAAATCGAACAAACTATACTAGATGCTCAAACAAACATGCAGCACTTGTGCTGTAACCCTGCGCTAACATGTCTTCTGTCACATGCCACAATACATTCAGTAATGTTATGATTCTTAGAAATTTTTTTCGCGTTAAAAACGTTGTTGTAACAGTATTTTTTTTCTATAAATATTATAATTAATTTTAAGTCTTATGTTTTAAAACTACAAGAAAAAAAAATGTATTTTTTTTATCATTTGAGTCATGCAATAGTAAAGTGAGCTAAAATATGAAAATGCATTGAAGATAGAAGTTATACCACTTAATGAGGTATTCGCATATCTCCTGCTTCAATTCAACTCGTAACTTTGTTGTTACTTTCATATGTACATCTTTCACAAGCAAGCAGAGAAATTATCAATCGAAGACAGCTAGACTATACACCACCACCAAGAGACTGTTCAAATATATTATTATCAAGCATTTTATATGATTTTCGCAAAGCAAATAGAATTTGCTCAAGCTTTTAATTACAACTAATGACTATACGTGAAGACCCATACGGTTGCTCAACGTTACGACTGATTACACCTTAACGGCTTATCAATTGCAGGCGAGCTAACGAAACAATGACAGTCAACAGCAAAATTAGCGCTACTGCCTCTACTATCATCACCTTTAGGTTTGGTGAATTTGATAAAGGGACTTTTACTGCAAGCAAATAAATGCAAACAAAATTTTCCAAAACACTAATAAAAAAGTTCAACTAATTACATGGGTGATCTAGCTAATAATCAGTGCAGTTGAGCTCCACAAAAACAACAATAGGTATTATATAGAAGCTACAGCCCTTAAACTACTCAGAGTTCGTATGACAACAGGTGCGTAAAAGTCTAAAGCGAGAGAAATGGGAAGTCGTAATACCGTTAGTGTGGTAACAATTACTAGTTAGTTGTGGACTTTTGGTTTTAGTCTCGACTATACCAACAACTACTCAGGTTGTAAACAAAGTTCATGTGGAGGACTTGGAACTAGTGGACGATACACCCACCTCCCGCATTGTTGGCGGTCAATATGCAGCCGATGGACAATTTCCACATCAAATAGCATTATATGTACGCGGCGGTTTTGCTTGCGGTGGTTCGATCATTAGTGAAAGTTATGTTGTGACGGCGGCGCATTGTGTAACCAGTCGACCTGGCAGCAAGTGAGTCTACATGCACACCAAATAACGTATATACAAGATGTTATTTTGAGTTTTCCCCTTTCTAGATATCCAGCTTCCTACCTAATAGTATACGCAGGTTCTTCCCAGCTCTACACAGGCGGTGTATACAGCAGCGTCGCCGAGACCAAAGTTCACCCACAATATGATGATTTCGTATATGATATTGCGCTCTTGCGTTTAAGTACAAAACTCTCCTTCAATAATCAAATTCAGGCAATACCGTTGGCCACCGCTGAGCCGCCCAACCGTTCCCCTGTCACCATTTCCGGTTTTGGCCGTGTGCGCACTGGCAGTGAATTGCCGTCACGTCTTAAATACAACACTTTGCGCAGCCTCAGTAATGCCAATTGTAAACGTTTCCTTAGAGATGTAGACACAACAACGCTCTGCCTATCGCACACTGCAGGTAATGGTGCTTGCAATGGTGACTCTGGTGGTCCGCTATCTACAATGGTCAGTTGGTTGGTGTGAGCAACTTTGTTGTTAATGGTTGTGGCTCTACTTATCCCGATGGTTAGCGAAGGTTTCCTTATTCACAATTGGTTGCGCCAAAACTCTGATTGCCGTGAGTCAACGAATCTAAAGCGAACTGACTAATATTGTGAAATGTGTAAATCAAATAAAAAACTTATTATGAGCAACAATTATTGTAAACTAATAAGAACTGTGTGTGGACTTTACGTGTATATTGATTACTCTATTCTGTGGAAATATCCTAGCTTTGAGGTTTGTATAAGTTTATTGTTGGTAAACTACCAGTAACTTTGCGCTTTTAGTCTCGAGATGAGTCGCAAGAGTTCCGTTGAATATCTTGGTGGTGTTATCGGGATCCATCTCGGGAAAACTTAGATGCTTACCTGATACCACTGTGGAAGTTGCATGTAGGATAGCAAATTACAATTACTCATTACATCTTTACTACTGAAAAATACGGTCTCAATCCCACCTTCTTCTAGGCACAACTACTTATAGCGAAATAACTCAACTTATAGATTTATATTGCACTCAAAACTTGTGTGGTTTACGAAGATTTATCCGGACGTCAGAACTTAGCAGCAACAATTTATAACTTTAGGGTTCAAATATGATCTTCCTGCAACAAAGTCTAATAACCTAACTAACCTGTTTCTTATAACCTGACTGATCGGTTTCTATCCATTAATAAAACTACTTATTTTAAAATATACCAGCATGATCTTCAAACAATCTAGGATCATTCTATCCAGGTACAGATAATTCCAACAGTGTGGTCAGATGGATTTTGCAAAACATATTTCCAAATTCTCTTGTTGTTATTCCTGATCACTGAGAACTCTTAAAGCTATACGAAGCACTCGATGTTTACGTTTAAAGGTATCGCAGTTTTAAAACCCATTTAAGCGAATTTATACAGAAACTATTATTTTCAAAATCTGTTACTTGTTACTGTGTTTGTAAGATGTATTTTAAAAATAAAAACGAAAGCATCAAGGATTTTACGTACTTTCCGCAGTCGCACTGCTAGCATATTGTTTGTATCGACATTTTCAAGCATCTTTGACAGTTCTCCGAACTTGAAATGCCAACTATCAACTACTGAGAATAACACTAACAATTTCAAAGTCAATTGTGGCAAAAGCAATGAAATAGTTCAATGAATTTGCGTTAAGCATTAACGCCTTGGTAACAATTAAGAAGAGAAAAGTGGGCCCACAGTTTAGCGTAGCAAAACGAGCCGAGGAGAGGTACCTTTCTTTGTCATTTAAATCCTATACGAATTCAAAATAATGTTGTTATTATGGTTAAAATGTATTTGCTTATCAAAGTATCATTTATATTAATAACAAGAACAAACGCTTAACTTCGCTTGTATTGAAGCGTAATACCCTTCACAAATACAAAAGATTCCTTTCAATACTTTTGATCGGTCAGTTCGTATGGCAGCTATATGCTACCGTTCCGACAAATGACAGTTCTTGGGAGAAACGGATGTGTCAAAATTTATGAATGGTAACTGAGCGACTAGTTAGCAATGAATACTGACAGATAGGTGGACAGATACAAACAGACAGACATGGCATAACCGACTCAGTTCGTCATGCTGACTATTCATCTTCTTCTTTTCTGACGTTTCCTTTGGAAGTTACAAACAACGTGGCAAACATAACCTCTGTCAGGATATAAAAAACACACTAAATCTAAATATGCAATATAAGGTGACAGCTCTAGTCATAGAAAATGTCTTATGATATGATAATTTTATTTAGCAGCTTAAGAAAGCTTCAAAATTAAATAAGTAATTTTTTTTGTTTTTTCTTGAAAAGAAAATACCCGTAACTTGCCCAGCACGAAATATTTGAAATAAATTAATTTATGATATCATGTTTTAGCAAAGCAAAGTTCGCTTTTAATACAAATTTTTTACTAATAAATCGTAAATTATTGAGAAAGTGGCAACCCTATAACATCAAAAAACGTGTAATAAGCTTATATAAGTCTACGAACATTTTGATAAATGAATTTATTGGCATCCTGTATGTACACACTTTTAAATTTGTGTTTTTAAGCGAATTTCTTGACTCTTAGGTAAAAAACATACTTTCTAAAATTGCCGGCAGAGTTTTATCATTTGATCGCAAAGTATGAAATAACATTAAAAAATCGATGTAATAAATGCGAACGATGACCCAATAAGAGTGGACATTAAAGCAACTAATGCTGCTCAAATGTATTATTGAAGAAGATCTGCTCCTCATTTGACAAATATCTATCGATGCAGTCTTTGAACTGACTGATCTTCAATTAGTAAACTTTTAACTCAAATAAATTTAATGAAACCATATAATATATTTGCCGCATGGTATTTGCTGCCACTAGATAAGAAACTGAGTCATAAGCAGTTATAAATAAAGCTTGAATAGTTTACGAGGGCAGTGATAACGATGAAATCAGATAACTACTCTATGTTGATTCTCCACAGTCGTTTAGATTGATTTAGGCCTCAAAGTCAATAAAGTAAATTTCGACGGCCATAAAATTCATCGGAGTGAAAGAAAGTTAGTTAGAAAGCGAATTTATATCAGGTAAAGTGAGAGGCAAAAAATGGTTTTATAAAACGTTGTTGAGTCAAAATTTAGCTCCACAACAGATTTAACATTAACACATAGATATCAATAACTTAGTTATCAATCACAATAAAAACAAGTAAGGAAGGGTAAGTTCAAGTGTAACCGAACATTTTATAATCTTGCAACTTCAGCATCAAACCCGAGGAATACTTTCAGGTGTTGGCAAAATTGTATACTACAAAATGTAGCGAAAAGGTTGATTCGATTTTGTCAAATTTAGACTTGCACGTAACACTATTTTGACATTCACACATAACACGACTTAAATTAAATTCTATCCGATTTTCCCACTTTCCAGTATACAAATCAAGCATTAATCAATATATCGGGGACAAATTTTCACCAATATTTCGTTTAAAGTACAATCCGTTTTCGCTCATTTCTCATAACATGTCAAATAGTCTTACGTACCAAATTTATTTAGATTATCTAAATTTTTACATAAGTTGCACAGACAACAGACAAACGGACCGACAGACAGACATCCGATTTCAACTTGTCTCGTCATCCTGATCAGTTATATATCATATCACTCCATAACTATATCTTGTAAGTGATACAAACAACCGTTACGTGAACAAAACTGTTATACCCTGCGGCAACATGTTATAAGGATATAAAAATATCTTATTGCAGATATCTGTAACAGCTATAACGTAGTCTACAAAGGCAGTAAAGAAAGTTAAGAGGGCTTGATGCAGCCCTCGAGTGACTAAGGAAAGTTTGGGAGTAACAAAACACTCTAGAGATAGAGAGGAAAGAGTGAGAAAAATGGGGTCGGAGAGAGAGAAGATAGAGATTGGCAGTGAGATGGCAGTTTGATATATCAAATTATTTCAGAAAGAGATGTAAAACTAAGGTATTACAAAACATTATTCAGCCAAAAGTTAGTAGGTGTTAGCAAAAGGCCTTTCTGGTCATAAATAGTTCTTCTTCGGACTAATAAAAGGAGACCCTATTTAGGCATGGTAAGTCTTTCTACAATAAATGTGTAAGATGTCGGAATATTTGGCACCCGGTTAAATGGAATATTATTTTCCTCTCTCTTAGTCACGCATTGCTCATTCCCTAACTTCACAACAATCTTTGTTCCTAGAAACCAGCAACTCTACCAGAGCTCAAGCTCAAGCTTTATAATTACAACTAATGACTATACGTCTAAGACCCGTCTAAGACCCAGCTCAACGTTACGACTGATTACGACCTAGCGGCTTATCAATTGGAGTCGAGCTAATCAAACAATCACAGTCAACAGCAAAATTATAATCACCTTTAGGTTTGTGAAATTTTGATAAAGAGAATTTTCTGCAAATAACTAAACGTAAACAAAATTTTCCATAAATGATAATAAAAAGTTCAACTAATTACTTGAGTAATCTAGTTAATAATCAGTGCAGTTGAGGTCCAAAAACAACAATAGGTATATAAGTAGAGCTACGGCCCTTAAACTGCTCAGAGTTCGTTTGACAACAGGTGCGTTAAAAGTCAAAAGCGAGAGAAATGGAAGTCGTAATACCGTTAGTGTGGTAACACAGTTACTATAGTTATTTGTGGACTTTGGTTTTAGTCTCGACTATACCAACAACTACGCAGGTTGTAAACAAATTTCATGTGAAGGACTTGGAACCAGTGCAAGATAAACCCAGCTCACGCATTGTGGGCGGTCAATATGCAGCCGATGGACAATTTCCACATCAAATAGCATTATATATACGCGGCGGTTTTGCTTGCGGTGGTTCGATCATTAGTGAAAGTTATGTTGTGACGGCAGCACATTGTGTAACCAGTCGACCTGGCAGCAAGTGAGTCTACAGCACACCAAATAACTTAATGTACAAGATGTTTATTTGAGGTTTCCCCCTTTCTAGATTTCCAGCTTCCGACTTCACGGTACGCGCAGGTTCTACTCAGCTCTACACAGGCGGTGTATACAAGAGCGTCGCCGAGACCATAGTTCACCCACAATATGATGATTTCGTATATGATATTGCGCTCTTGCGTTTAAGTACGAAACTCTCCTTCAATAATCAAATTCAGGCAATACCGTTGGCTACCGCTGAGCCGCCCAACCGTTCCCCTGTCACCATTTCCGGTTTTGGCCTCGTGAGTGCGAATGGTGAATTGTCGTCACGTCTTAAATACAACATTTTGCGCAGCCTCAGTAATGCCAATTGTAAACGTTTCATTGATGATGTCGACCCGACAACGCTCTGCCTATCGCACACTGTAGGTAATGGTGCCTGCGAAGGTGACTCTGGTGGTCCAGCTATCTACAAAGGTCGGTTGGTCGGTTTGAGCAGCTATGGTGTTGGTGATTGTGCCTCCACTTTCCCGATGCTTATACGAAGGTTTCCTTATTCCGCAATTGGGTGCGCCAAAACTCTGATTGCCGTGAGTCAAACGAATCTAAAGCGAACTGACTAACCATTGTGAAATGTGTAAATCAAAATAAAAACTTATTATGAGCAACAATTATTGTAACTAATAAGAACTGTTTGGACTTTACGTGTATATTGATTACTATTTCTGTGGAAATATCCTAGCTTTGTTGTATAAGTTTATTGTGGTAAACTACCAGTAACTTTGCGCTTTTAGTCTCGGATGAGTCGCAGAGTTCCGTTGTGCTGTGCATGTTATGTATCTCAACCCCTCCTTCTTCTAGGCACAACTCAACTTATTAGATTTGTATTGCACTCAAGACTTGTGGTGGTTTACGAAGATTTATCCGAGTCAGAACTTAGCAGCAACAATCTATAACTTTAGCGGTTCAAATATGATCTTCCTGCAACCAAGTCTAATTAACTAACTAACCTGTTTCTTACAACCTGACTGATCGGTTCCTATCCAATTAATAAAACTATTTTTTTTAGATATCAGCAGATCATCAGATCATTCTATCCAGGTACAGATAATTCCAACAGTGTGGTCAGATTATTTCTGCAAAACATTTCCAAATTCTCTTGGTGTTATTCCTGATCACTGAGAACTCTTAAAGCTATACGAAGCACTCGATGTTTACGTTTAAAGGTATCGCAGTTTTAAAACATATTTAAAGCGAATTTATACAGAAACTATTTATTTTAAAAATCTGTTACTTGTTACTTGTGTTTGTTAAGTGTATTTAAAAATAAAAACGAAAGCAATCAAGGATTTTACGTACTTTCCGCAGTCGCACTGCTAGCATATTGTTTGTATCGACATTTTCAAGCATCTTTTGACAGTTCTCCGAACTTGAAATCCAACTATCAACAACTGAGATGTAGACACTAACAATTTCAAAGTAAAATTGTGGCAAAAGCAATGAAAATAGTTCAATGAATTTGCGTTAAGCATTATCGCCTTGGTAACAATTAAGAAGAGAAAAGTGGGCCACAGTTTAGCGTAGCAAAAAGAGCCAGGAGAGGTACCTTTCTTTGTCATTTAAATCCTATACGAATTCAAAGTATTGTTGTTATTATGGTTAAAATGTATTTGCTAATCAATAGTAATATTTATATTTCATAAACAAAGAACAAACGAAGATTCCTTTCAAGACTTTTGATCGGTCAGTTTGTATGGCAGCTATATGCTACCGTTATGACAAATGAGCAGCTTCTTGGGGAGAAAAGGATGTGTGCAAAATTTCAGAATGGTAACTGAGCGACTAGTTAGCATGAATACTGACAGATAGGTGGACAGACGGACAGACAAAACAGACAGACACACAGAATCGACTCTGTTCGTCATGCTGACGATGCACCTTCTTCTTTTCTGACGTTTCCTTTTGGAAGTTACAAACATCGTGGCAAACTTAATATACCCTATTCAGGATATAAAAAAGCACACTAAATCTAAATATTCATTGAGTATGGTGACAGCTCTAGCCATAGAAAATTTCACATGATATGATAATTTATATTTAGCAACTTAAAAAAACTTTAAAATTAAATAATTTTAAAATAATAACTTTTTGTTGTTTTTTTCCGGAAAAGAAATATTAGTATAGTGGCAACCCTGTAACATCACAAAAAACGTGTAAAAAGCTTATATTGGCATTGAAGTCTATGAACATTTTGATAAATGAATTTATTGGCAACCCTGTATGTACACACTTTTAAATTTGTGTTGGTTTAAATGAATTTCTAGACTCTTAGGTTAGAAGGACTACCAATTTGGTCTCAGGTAATCGTTAATATTCAGTAAAAAAACATACTCTCTAAAACTGCCGGCGGAGTTTTATCAATTGCTCGCAAAGTAATCATAAAGAAATCGTATTTTATGACTGACTTATTATATATGTACGTATCCAAATAATAACTACGATTATTTTTCACACTTTTGTATATTTTCTGTGAATATGTTATAAAGAAGTACCACAATCCTGTTGATGTACGAAAAACGTTGTTAGTGCGATTGATTGGTATTTTTCTAGCCATATATATATTTGTGAGCAACATCAATCCAATAATCACAATAATAATTTAAAAAATATAGAAAATAAAATACGTCAACAAATATATGATTTCTACTTGAAAATTTGCAGATTTCAAGTAGGAATTTCCGCCGCTGTCAATCAATGATTATTTCTGAATATTTACAACATATGTATGTACATACAGTAAATCTACATCGAGTGTTTGCGAAAATGGATGAAAAGCAGAATGTGTTAAGTTAATATATTTTCGTTGCGATTGCGGATGCATAAATTTATACTTTGTTAATTAGTTTACTTCACAATCTTGTACATGCATAAACATTTGTTTGTATGGCGTTTACTTACATATACATACACTCAGAGTGGTCTCGGCGACGCTGCTGTATACACCGCCTGTGTAGAGCTGGGAAGAACCTGCGTATACTATTAGGTAGGAAGCTGGATATCTAGAAAGGGGGAAAACTCAAATAAACATCTTGTATACTACGTTATTTGGTGTGCTGTAGACTCACTTGCTGCCAGGTCGACTGGTTACACAATGCGCCGCCGTCACAACATAACTTTCACTAATGATCGAACCACCGCAAGCAAAACCGCCGCGTACATATAATGCTATTTGATGTGGAAATTGTCCATCGGCTGCATATTGACCGCCAACAATGCGGGAGGTGGGTGTATCGTCCACTAGTTCCAAGTCCTCCACATGAACTTTGTTTACAACCTGCGTAGTTGTTGGTATAGTCGAGACTAAAACCAAAAGTCCACAACTAACTAGTAAATGTGTTACCACACTAACGGTATTACGACTTCCCATTTCTCTCGCTTTAGACTTTTAACGCACCTGTTGTCATACGAACTCTGAGTAGTTTAAGGGCTGTAGCTCTACTTATATACCTATTGTTGTTTTTGTGGAGCTCAACTGCACTGATTATTAGCTAGATCACCCATGTAATTAGTTGAACTTTTTTATTAGTGTTTTTGGAAAATTTTGTTTTGCATTTATTTGCTTGCAGTAAAAGTCCCTTTATCAAAATTTCACCAAACCTAAAGGTGATGATAGTAGAGGCAGTAGGCGCTAATTTTGCTGTTGACTGTCATTGTTTCGTTAGCTCGCCTGCAATTGATAAGCCGTTAAGGTGTAATCAGTCGTAACGTTGAGCCAACCGTATGGGTCTTTCACGTATAGTCATTAGTTGTAATTATAAAGCTTGAGCAAATTCTATTTGCTTTGCGAAGAATCATATAAAAATGCTTGATAATAATATATTTGAACAGTCTCTTGGTGGTGGTGTTATAGTCTAGCTGTCTTCGATTGATAATTTCTCTGCTTGCTTGTGAAAAGATGTACATATGAAAGTAACAACAAAGTTACCGAGTTGAATTGAAGCAGGAGATATGCGAATACCTCATTAAAGTGGTATAACTTCTATCTTCAATGCATTTTCATATTTTAGCTCACTTTTACTATTGCATGACTCAAATGATAAAAAAAATACATTTTTTTTTTCTTGTAGTTTTAAAACATAAGATTTAAAATTAATTATAATATTTTATAGAAAAAAAAAAATACTTGTTACAACAACGTTTTTTAACGCGAAAAAAAATTTCTAAGAATCATAACATTACTGAATGTATTGTGGCATGTGACAGAAGACATGTTAGCGCAGGGTTACAGCACAAGTGCTGCATGTTTGTTTGAGCATCTAGTATAGTTTGTTCGATTTGCTGGAGCGTAACGCTTACTGAATTGAGGACCGTTTATATTATTTTATTGGTACATTTATTACACGTTATGAACACCTCGACGCGCTGGGGGTGAGGACTTTCTTAGTTGACTCAGTGTTTGAACATGTAAACCCTTTCATACTGATCTGGGACCAGGTCTTATCAGCAAACAGATGCAATAAAGGAAATTAATATAATATAATTGAAGTAATTTGCTTTATAAAGCAGGACTCGGAGACACACATAGAATATAATGAATTGATGAAATGAGATCTACACTTGCGAGTTGGTTTTGAATATATAAAATCTCTATAAAATTGTGTCAAAGAACTTTACTAAGCTTTGGTAGAGCTGCTGGTTTCTAGCGAACAAAAATCGTTGACTCAACAACGTTTTATAAAACCATATTTTTGCCTCTCACTTTACCTGATATAAATTCGCTTCTTAACTAACCTTCTCTCTCACTTCGAAGTGTTTTATGGCCGTCGAACCCTACTTTATTGACTTTGAGGCCTGATTCAATCGAAATGACTGTGGAGAAATCAAAGCTAGAGTAATTATCTGACTTTCATCGTTATCACTACCCTCGTAAATTACTTTATAGCTGTTATTAATAACTACTTATGACCCAGTTTCTTATCTAGTGGCAGCAAAATTAACATGCGGCAAATATGTTATATGGTATTGTATTTACTTAAATTTATTTGAGTCAAACGTTTTACGGCGGGTAATTCGAAGAAGTCAAGTACACAAGTTCACAAGCACTGGGCCACCATCGAGTAGCTATTTGTGCCAAATGTAAAAGAAACCAACAGAGCTATCTTGGCTACAGTAATAAATTTGGACGCAGCCATTAGTTGCTTTGAATGTCCACTCTCCCTGCCGCTATTCGTCGGTTTTTGCGCATTTACTTCATCGATTGTTTTATGTGTGATTTCCTCTATTACAATATAAGATCTAAATGCATATAGTAGATATCTACATATATATATAAAGATAGGATATACATATATATACCATATATTCACTGCAGTGCTGCTTACAATTCATTCGTAAATCACCAGCTCTCGCCGCCCTCAGCTGAGTTTCGGTGAACTCGTGCGATTTTTTGGCAGCATCACATGTTTTTCACTTCACTTCAAATCACTTTTTAACTAAATGCCGTTATTTTGTTATGTATGTGTGAGTGTTATTATAGCTTAAGAGTGCGCTGACAAAATCATAGTGATCAGCAGACAAATTCTTGTGAACAGCCACGTGAAGGCTACAATTGTAAGAAGAAGGGATGGTGGGACACTTTACACTGGCCATATGTATTGTTTGAGTAGAATATCTTTATAAACTGAGTA